ATATTTGAACATTACTTGTATAATATTTTTATTAGTATTGTATATTAAGTTATATTAATATTGAATATAATTTTTATAGTGACCTGACCGGGGTTTGAACCCGAGACCCTTCGGTTAAAGGACCGGTGCCATAACCACTGCACCAATGGTCAGATATTCTGATAATTAATTTGATTAATAATTAAGGAATCACTTTAATAAAATTTCATAATAAAATGTTAAAATTTACTCCTCATGAACGTCAAGAATAAATAAAAAAATATTCTTTTAATTCTTGCCTTTAAAAATGCATAATTTGCAAATTATTTCCCATTAAGTACAGTATAAAAAATTAAGTATAAAAAGTTGGAAAAAAACAGAAAGTGTTAAAATATTCAAAACATAATTTATTTGATGAATAAAATATTTTTTTTTGTTATACAAAATATTCTGACAGAGTAAAAACCATAATTGCATGAATAAATAAATTTTTTCTCTATTTATACTTGTTATTTTTTTTTAATGTAAATTTTCTTTGTATATTTACAAAACTCATTTGAAATTTATTTATGTTACATAACATAAACACGATTAAAAATAACACTTCTTTTAGGAACATTTTTATGTGATTAATTTTATATAATTACCCATTTCCTTTGTGTATCTATACGTACCCATAAGTAGAGAATAATGTAAACAAAAAATTAAATTCTCATCCTTCGACTTTTCAATTCGCACTCTTCAATCTCTTCCATGTCATCTTTTCAATCTTTTTATCTTTGAAACTCTTAGCTATGGGTTGAGAGGTATAGATGTATATAGAATTCAAAATTTGTGTGTTGCCTTATGTGTTGTTAATTTCAACTATAAATATTTTCTGCTATATCAACAAATTATTAAAAACAGCATGGTAAAATAAAAATTATCCTTTTACCATAAGAAAAAAAAAACAAAATTCTTTTTATGCGATTATTGTTAAGATTATATACTTTAAAAGTTATATGTGTTATATTTTCTCTTTTCCTCATAAGATTGTATTTAATTTTTATAAAAAGAATTGGATCTATTTCAACCGTTTGTCCATCCATTATGCTTCAATAATTGAGTTGTTAATTTAAAATAAACTAGGACTATTAAACGTAGGACTATTATACTTTTTGTCATTGAAGTAAGCCGAAATAAATGAATTTTTTTCTTCACTTAATCTTCTCTCAGGTTTCCCATATTGTCAGATATATCCAATTTTTGAGATTTTGCAAGTGTCTTCCAGATGACCAGATATGTCAGATTTTTTTTAACTTTACCACATTTTTCACTTGAGAAAAATCTGAGAAATCACTTTAAATTTCTTGTTTTGTAAATTAATGACAATAAAGATGTGCTTGAATGAAATTTAAAAGCTAGTCTTTTTATCAGATTTTATACCAGTTTTTTGTTCTATTTCCAGATTTTCCACCTTTTCTGTGAAATCAATATGGTAACACTGTCTGCTTTATGTAATATAACAAAATTGCATGGTATGGTTAAATGTATAGCTATGAAATAATTTTTCTATGTGATAACATTTTCAAAATTTCTGAACTTTGTAGAAAATTTAGATTGCAGAAAATTTTCTGAACGAAATTTCAAATTTGTTCCATACTTGAACAACTTGTTCAAAGTTATTCCATACCTGATTAACTTTGTACAATTGTTATACCACAATTGAGGCGCTCAGTACATTCGTGGCCTATTAAACATTTATGGGAAAACGAGTTACTCGTATTATGTTCAATAGAACTGTAATGGCCTAAAAAATTTTTTTATATTTTCAAAACACTTAGTTTACTTCTCTTTTCTCTCTATTTTGACATAAGTTCGTTTTTGCTTTTTAATAATTTTCTTAATGGGACTATTTTTAAGCCTATAAAATGCGAATGACAAAATTTTTCACTCAAAAACACGTAAACTGCCTATTGTTTAAAATTCTTTAATCATTTACAAGTGCATACCCTGAATTTTATAATATATTGAGGTTTATGAAGGCTAAAAATAGAAAACAACCAGTAGGCGAACCTTCAGTTTGCATTTCTTAAATCAAGTTTTCTAAGCCGAACTTTTTGTAATCTTACAATACTAAAATCACGATCTATTTTTCAATTTTAATCACCTCATACAAACAATGAAATTTTTTAATTATCATTTTGTATAAAATGTGCTTACGACAAACTTTAATTTTTTATTACAAATATTTTCTCTTTTTTTCTCTTTTTATTTTGTTACCAAACTTTACACATTCACCATATTATTTTATTCTTATTGAACAAAAGGATACAAAAATACAATAATAGTTATATATACTTTTCAAAAGCAACAAAGAAATTAAAGAACAAAAAAACAAACAAACAAAAAAAAAAAAACACAAAACTATAAATGTAATCAAATCTTTTGCACCCTTGAAATGAAGAAGTTTTATCTTGTTATTTATCTAAAGTTTTATCCTAAAAACATATTAAATCATCATCTTTTTATTTATATAATCCATAAACATTAAATCTTTTTCAAACTCTCTCTCTCTCTCTCCGTTTCTCTGATTATTCCAAACAAAAAGAAAACAAAAACCAAACAAGAAAAATAAAGGTTACAAAAAAAAAAAGGATCATGTTCAAACATTAGTTAAAGAGTTTTCCTTTCGGATTTTTTGTTTTTGTTTTATTCCATTGTTAGTGTGTATGGTGTATGTACTTGGGTGTTGGAATGTACCAAAAATTCATAAAAATAAAAACTTCTCATATATAGCCAATCAAAATCCACCAACCATTACCATCATCCTTCTTCATACTTCTTTCTCTCTTGTATACTCTTTTTTAGTGATTACAAAATTATAAAAGTTTTTCTCTTTTATATTCAGAAAAAAAAAACACATTTTTTTTTCTCTTTTTTTATCTCTTTTCAAAAACAAATTTTTCATTATAGTTGGGAAGTTGGAATCTTTCTACCACTTTTGTTTTTTTTTTTATTTTTTTGTATTTTGTACTCATTTTTATTCACGTTCTCATTTCATTATCGAATTCTGGCAATGAAAAGAGAAGGTACAGTAAAAATATAGAAAACAGAAAAACTCACAAAAATGTAAAAATGAACAATGAGTTGAAAACTTTTGAGAAAAAATTTTTTTTTATCTCTTTCTGAATGCCACCTTTTAGTTTTTATCATTTTACTAATATAGAAAATTATTGTATGTAAAAATCGTAAAAAACCAAATATGCATGTGGAAATGAGAAATTTTATTTTGATTTGAGTTAAGTTGTTTGTTTGAGTACACAGGTTTACAATATTGTTATACAAATAATAATTTTCATATTAACATTGATAAAATGATGTGGGGGTCATCGATGTAATGTAAAAGGATTAAAAGATAAAGTGCCCTATTGAAGTATAGGTGAATTTAAATCTAATAAATTTGAATTATTTTTCTCAATAATCGCAGGAAATCTGAATGGAACTTTAATTCTTTGAAATTAGTAGACTTTTATAAATTTAACTTTTATTCATACGTTTCCAATGCTACAGGATTACTAAGCTTTAAACTAAGCTGGTCTCATACAGTTATGACGTTTATAATATTCTTACTTAATTTTTTGACTAAATTATTATTTAATATTATTATTAGTTAAATAAATTTAATACACTATTATCTCCTGTGGCAGTGCATTACTTCAATGTGACGATGATTTGCAGCCTATTTCGGAATTCTCAAAAAACTTGAAGTATTTATGTAGAAAATAAGTGAAAGAATGTTGATTTTAGGCAGAGGTTTTCGGTATTTTACGCTTTAAAGAAAATTGCATGTTGCAGAAATCTTTTAGCTTGTATATTTTTCTTAAAAATATAAAATTTTTCTTTACCTCCTGAAAACAGAAGAAAATTTTAGTAACTTTTAGATACTAATAAATAGTTTATTTCGTTAGAAGAAAATGTTTTTTTCAAGTTTGAATTATCGGTACCTTATATTTTCGAAACTACAAGCTTTTCTAAAATTTCATAAATGCAGAAAGTTAAAGGTAAATTCCATAACATCAAGAAATATAATTGTTTTTCTTAACTCACGCAATCAACCCTTGAATTAAACCATTATGGTAACGATTCTCACAGTTTTTTTTTCTTTCGCCTCATCATGAATATATGCAATTTTTGAAATATTTTGTTATATGATTGAAAGTGATCTTTTTATTTTAGTGCATAATATGTTCTTAAAAACGCCATTTTCATTTGTTAAAAGGAAACGTGTTACTTTAAAAACCATGGGTTTGATCTAACTTTATTTTAACACAAAATGTTTTCCATACCGGAGCTCTATTAAAGTTTGTTAATATGTGACACTTGACTACAATTTGATTTACTGTTTAACTAAATTTTTTTTTAAATTTTACAAATTTCTCGTGCAACTGAGAGTAACTGTACATTACGCGTAGGAGCTCTCAGCTGCTACATACTCTAATATTAATCCTTACTAGTATTTTTGGGCAATTTTACTTTAAATATCTATTAAAACATTTTTCTCTTCTTTCATTCAAACGAATTAAATTCTATTATTAATAGTGTGAGTAATATACGAGATCTTCAACAAGTCGCCGACATCAAAAGGTGATAAACAAGAAGATTAAATTATGCTTTATTTTTTATGTTTTTTTTGATGTGTTGCTCTGACTTTCTGCAATATGATTCTTTATAGACCGATCACCTGGTAGATTAAGATAAAAAACAAAACCAACAGAAGAAAAAAAAAACCGAATACTAATTGGGTTTTCAATTTTAAACGAATAAATATAAAAAATTTACTTCACAATATGAGCAACAAAGAATACACAGAAAGAAAAAATTTTTTTCTCGTTTTCATTTTCCTTTATTCCACATTGTTATGTGGGTTGCTTTACATTCACAATCTTCACTTAATTTACATTCAGAAAGATTTTCATATTTTTTTTCTGTTTTCTTTTTCATAAAATCAGTATGCATTTTATTTCTCGCTCTATATGTAAATGGTTCTTGAAGAAAAAGGAATAAGAGAGAATAAGAGTAAGTTTTTTTTTAGTTTTCCTATAGGAAAAATTTCTTTGTTACCTTTTTTAAAATACTTCTACGAGGATTATTAACTTTCATTTTATATTTTCAACTGAATTTAAAAAATTTGAAACATTTTGAAATGTAAAATTGAGGAAGTGTGTAAATAAATTTGAAAATTCGAAAAAGTACATTACCTTCCAGGAGGGATAAGTGAGTAAAATAGGAGTATGAGTGAGTAAAATAGAAGCATGACTGAGTCAAATAGGAGCACTAGTGAATAAAATAGAAGCATAATTGGGTAAATTCGAGGTATTAGTGAGTAAACCAGGAGAATGAGTAAAATCGGGGCATGAGTGAGTAAAATCAGAGCATGAGTGAGTAAAATTAAGGACCCCGTAATTCTTATAAAAACTGCAAATTGAAAGCTTTTTCAACTATTAATAATCAATTGGTTAAAGTAGTCTCAATTAAATTTCTTATTTCCAATATTCCCGATATTTTTATTAAGAAGAATTCAGTGAAATTAAAAACACATAGCCAGACAGATGAATAAAAAAAATTAATTTATAGCAAAATACTAAAAATGCTTTTTTTTGCCAAAAACTTTTTTTTTATAAATAAATGAAAAGCGATACGTTGTTTTGCCTTGAAAAGGCAAAATGATATGTTAAACTTTTTATGACAAAGAAAAAAATAAAAAACAAAATGAATACGCAATAAATAAAATTTAATAAGGGGATAGGATTCATACTTTGTACTCCTATATAACTGCTCCTTTATTCCAGGATATGTGAATGAAATAACAAAGTGTTAAAACTAAATATGAGTCTGCGTTTATGTATTTGTTTTGTAGTCATATTACACATTCATATGTAAGTGTATGTATGTATGTATTTTTGTTTTCTGTTTTTAAACCTCACATATATAATTTATATCCTTGTTATTTTGTTCTTTTCTTTTTTTTTTTGTCGACAATACAATTATAGTTAACAAAATATTATACTTGAAAAGAGTTTTGTATATTTTTGAAAAGTGTATAACATTTTACTTACCTTTATACCATCTTACCTTTATTTTTTTGCTAGCTATTTTTGGTTTTATACCATTCTATTTTCTACATCTATGTTGTTTGTGGAAGGAGTTTTGCTATACGTTTCGTTTTTTATTCTCCTTTTTTCTTATTTTGATTCCTTTAATCCCTTAATTTACTTCATTTAAAATCAGGTTATACGTATATAAATTTTATTCTATATAGAATAATTTTTTACATACATATATATATATATATATATATATATATATATATATATATATATATATATGTAAATGTATACTAAATGTGATGTTGGAGAAAAAAACTCAGAAAAGGTTTTGTTTTGGTAAAGAAGTGATGTTTTATGAGAATAAATTTTGTTTTCTGTTTAATACCCCCACTACCTCTCTTACAACCCATTCAATCGTTTTGTATTCCATTTTGCCATTCAATTAAATTACGTTTAACAAATCAATGTCGGAATTCATAAAGAAGAAAAAAATTTCTTCAACGTTCCTCTTTTAATATTAGAAGTGAAAGCAAAATGTAGAAAATTAGATTAAAAATATTATGTAGGTGCAGGTGAATATATTGAAGGGTGAAATGAAATAGGTAGAATTGGGTAACTGAATAAGGTAGGATGGTGGTGGTGACTGGTGGTATAACAGAATGATAATGGAAATTTCACTTTTTTACATCTGAAAAGTTTGTTGTTGTAATTTTATTTAATTTTGTTTTTAAGAGAAGTTTTAAAATATGAAGTGGGTGGGAGCACAATTTTTGTTGTTTTTTTATTCTTATTCTATTATTCGACTTTTTATATGAGAAAAAATATTGATTTCTCTTCTATATATTAAAGTTTAAAGAGATTTAATTTAGAAAAAATGAAAGGGTTTTTTTAAAGGTTTTTGATGTAGATACTTTAAAAATAGAGATAGAAGTGAGAGGATTTTTTGCATTGATCTCCTTTAACTAGACGTTAATTCTCTGTTATGTCAAAACTTAACAGTTGTGTAGGGTCACGACAAATATTGGATTTTCATTACACGGATTTTCAATTTTAATTTGCAATACTATGGTTGATTAAATGTTATTAATATTTTTTGATTTAAATTTGCAAAATTCACCTTTCTGTTTCCTTTCTTTTTGCAAAATTCACAAATCGGGCTTTTAACTTTAAAATTTATTACAGTTTTCTTAATACATGTATGGAAGAATTGAAGAAAATTTTTAAAGAATTCAATTCAGAACAAAATTCTATGAATTTTTTGTAGCAAGCTCTGAAAAAGATTTTCAAATATAAAATTGAAAATTTAATATTTTCCTTATTTTTATATTATTTTTCGAAAAAATTTTGTACCCAAAATAAATTTTTTGTTAAATTCGGCCACTCGAATTACTCGTTAGTAAATTACATATTTAAACTAAATTTGAAAGTAAGAACCGCGCATAGAAACAGGGGAGAATATACACACATATAGTTAAAATGGATAAAAAATTAAATTTTAAAGAAGAAACTTATAATATTGAATGTGAATGTGATACGAAAAACTCCAACGCAACATGTTGTTCAGGTGATACTTGTTGTAAATATACACCGAAAACTGCAAATTCACCAAAATCAAAAAAAAAGAATATTATTAGCCATCATGTTATGTATGAAGAATCGGCCCCAAGATCATATGGAATTCCATTGGAAATATCAAATCCGAAAGGAACCTGTTTTAAGTAATTATGTTTTTTTTTTATTTCTTACCAAAGAAACAATTACATTAAAAAATAATTTTAATTATTTGATTAAATATTTGATGTTCCTGGCAACTGTACACATATATAAGTTAATTATATTGCAGAACTGGAAACTATAATAATTGAAATAAATGATACGCAAGCTAATTATTGGATCAAAACTTGCTGAATTATCGGTATGGTTGAATGCAGTATACAGAACATAAGTAATATCTCAATGGTGTGCATTTTTGTTTATTTTTGCAATAAATTGAAATGTTGAATTTAAATTCTTTTATCGATTTTTCATAGCTTTCTTCTTTTAAATGTCAACCGTTCGGGTATGCTAAGCTGTTATCAAATATTTAATTCATTAGAAGCTATAGGTTTCGAAAAGAAAATTTCACGCTTTTTTAAATTCAAATAGTAATAGGCTTCATTCTCGAATTGTAAGGAAAGTGTAAAAAATACGTTTTCCAACAGATAACAGCTTAAAGCTCAATACTGCGACTATATTTTGTTCGTCTACGGTTAACCCTGTGTTTGTCATTCTAGCTCCGGTTTACTAACCAGTTTTGGACACTTTGTATCATTAAACAAAATTTTATTGAAAATCTTTAAAGAATCAATAAAATATGTAAGTATTTAATATTCCACTTCAATAATTTTAGTAATCAATAAAATTGCACTGCTAAATATTTTTACCCAGTTTTAAAATATATTTACATCATCATACATACATATACATATATTATAGTAGAATAGAAATAAAAATATTCTTAATATATTTTTATAATATACCATAACATTCTTTTATACTGTATGTCGGATAAAAAGGAATGCAAGATCCTTAACGAACTTGATTAAATTTAGATGAGTTTCAATATGTAAGTACATATTATACTTGTATATTACAGGTATATCACAAGGATATACCCACGTGTATGTATAGCAGTACTAAATTTAATTTGTATATATTTAAGGTTATTTATATCCGACTTTCCCCACTCATTTTTAATCTTATATTTTCATAATACTTATGTATGTATAGCTAATTCTGTTTTTATAGCGCTTAGGGGTCATGTTCTCATAAATTATTATCATGTGTATATATTATTTTTTCTCCTGGTTTTATATATGTATACGGGTACATCATGTAATCTAAATAAGGAAATAAGAAATTCTAAAGTGGTTTTAATGACGAATGATGGTCCTAAGGAAACTATTAAAAATAACTTAAAGTGGCGTTAATAAAAATTATGTAAAACATTTTATTATATCCTCCATCTAAAAAGTATACATATATAGTCCATTTTGAATTTATTATATACATATGAATATGTAGAATGTAAACAGATGTTGAGTATATATGACGATGCTTATGTATGATGATGATTTTAATGTAACGCTATTACAACATTCATAAAAAATGGTGGTGACGGTGTATATTTGAGATTATCATATACCAGTATTATGTTAAGTATCTTATATTTTAAGTGGGGATATTTCATATTTTCTTCCTATACTCTCTAAAATAAGCTCTTTCAACTTATTTCAATATTTATAATTTTCAAAGTTATTTATGGATTTTTGTCGATTGTAACTTAATTTTTTTTTTCATATTTCTCATATTTTATTTTGCTCCTTGACGAGAAATTATTTTTGTAAAATTTATTATAGAAATTATTCATTTTAATATGTACGTACATATACTTGTATATGTATTTGTTGTTTACATAAAAATACATATACATATGTGTAGTTAGATAATAAGATCAGAGTGACCATTTATTATTTTCATCGAAAAATAGGGAAAATATTTTATCGAATATCGAATTAAAAATTATAGACAATTAAAGAAGGATTATCTTCAAAAATTTACGATTTAGATAAATTTACCATAATTATTCTAGATTGTAAAATTAGTTAACTGATATTATAACCCAGACTGTATACTCCATGAATAATTTGGTCATGGCTCGGAAACTACAATCTGTAGTATTTAAATTTTGCATAAGCGAGTGCAGCAGGTGAGGCAATAATTTGTTGATTAGTGATCGTGTTAAATTCGTATAAATGACGGTATATACTTATTTCCGAAACGACAAACTTTAGTTATAGGACCATTAATGTTTAGATAGTGATCCTTTTTGTCAATAATTATCAAATAGAATTTGAAGAAAATTAATACGAGTATTAAATAAAGTTCTAATGGCGCTTATTAATAAAATAAAATTAAAATGTTGGCAATATGTTTAATAAAACCACTGATATGGGGACAATATTAAACAACGTACGACTGTAGTGAGTTTTTTTTTTAAATTACTAACATTATGTTATTAGCACCCTTGTATTTATTCCAAATGAAAATATTTGTAAGTGTAATATTACAAAATTCATTTAATCATATAGTTACATTACATTTCTAGATTTATTTTGCATCCAAACACCATCGGATAAATCAATAGCTATAAATAAATTTGATGATACGAATAACAGTTTTGTAAACCTGATGATGATATGAAGTAAAATTTTATTTTTTTTTGTTTTTCCCCCACAAATTAATCCTATATATATAAATATTTCCTATTTCTCATATTATACTCTGAATTCTATATATTTAGAAAAGTATATTGAGGATTAAGGGGTTATGGTTTGTTGAAGAGTATTTACTAAAAAACCAAAAAAAAAAGGAAAAAATCAAAATTAATATATTGAAAAGAGAAATAAGATTTTTCAATTTGAAATTCAAACTATGTAGTTATTTTTAAAGTTAATGAAAGCGATATTTGCAAAACATCAAAAACAGAAGGAAATGTTGTAAAATGTGATGAATATTTTGTAGATGGAGAATCAAAAATTGATGGGTGGGTATTACATCATTAAGGGTTCGAAATTATTTATATATTAATATGTTAAACATATACTAAATATAGGTTAATATTACATTTTCTGATTTTGATCTCCACTCTATCAAGGAAATAATATTTTTAGATGGAAAATATTGAACGATAAAATTTTGTACTATAAATAGAAAAATATTTGCTCCGTTAACATTCTGTTTTGTTTAAATTCATGATTAAATATTGGTTTTTAGTTGAACGTACAGAGCCTTCCATTTTTTTCGCTTATTTATGATAATTGTTCCTTTTAAACAAAATTTTTATTTTACTCTTATCCACTTGTAATGTATACATTTCCACATATAAGGGGGTTTTCACTTATCCACAGTACGCTGAAAGTTCTACATTAGAACTAAAATTTCTAAGTTGCAGCGTTAAACAGTATACAAAAACTTTAGGTAAGCCTTTTTCATTTACGCAGTCTACAAATTCGGAAGCTTCTAAATAATCTGTTTCTCGAAAATACTTGTAACATAAATGACATTATTTATGAAATCATATCCCAATATTTTTTGCCCTCCAATTCACTGCAAAATAAGGAAATTTTAACAAAATTAAAGACTTAAAGAAAACTTACTTTAACACCCTTCAATATCTGAACCTGCCATTTTGAAATTTAAATTTTTTTTTGAATTTTAAATTAAAACAGAAAAAAAAATTTCATGAGACAGTGACAAAATTTATACTAGAGGTCTGCGCTACATTTCTAACATTTGTTTATTGCAGATTGAATTTCCGAACGCACTTTATTACAACCAGTAATTTCCGAACGATCTATAATTTAATATTTTAGTATGTGTAGCGTGAATTTTCGAGCGTGTTACAAGTTAGAACTATTCGAGAACTGAATAAACGAAAACCCCCTAACAATTTCATGTTTTGAAATTTTTATTTTAAGAAACTTTTCTTATGAATTCTTGTGATTTTCAAAATTGAACAAATGCAGAAAGTCTCTTTTACTGTTATCTTTATATTTGTGTATGCGTGTATTTTCTTTCTTCATTTCCCATTATAATCATATTTAGTTTGTCAAAATATATATTTCTTTTAATGTTACCCAGTAATGGTTTCTGGATGGATCTATAATAACTCCATATAAGTTTCATTTAAAACAACTAAAGGAATTTCAAAATATTTCCCAATTTTAAAGAGTCTGTTATACAGTTTACACTCGGGTATAGAATCTCCTTAAATGTAATGTGACATACTGTTTCCAAGCTTCATATAGACTGATTTTTAAACTGAATAGTACCTGATAACAAAAATTTCTTAAGAAATCTTATTAAAACGTTAAAAATCCATTATCGTTTTCCACATTCAATATTTCACTATTGTTGCACTGCAAACAAACATTTTAGTCGACACACTCTGTACTCGTATTATGTTTTTTATATAGGCATATAGATTTAATTTCTAAAATTTATGATTTATGTATTAAGATTTAACATAATATATGTACATGCATGTGTTTACATAAAATGAACGTTCTCATAAATGTTTCATAATAGTCTGTACGTATTTCTCAATTTTTTATGTGAAACTAAGAAATTAAAGAAAATTCTTGAAAAAGGAAAGCCAAAATTATTGAAAAATAGGAAAATATTTTGGTTTATAAAATAATAACCAGCAAAAATATTCATACGCACATAATAAAATATGGTTATGGAAAATGAAAACAAAAATAAAGTAAAAAAAATTTTTTTCTTTTAAATCCTTTCAATTTACGATGACGACAACAAAATGAAGAAAGGCATGAAAAATTTCAATGTTGAAAACCTTGTTCTACGAAATGTGTAGGAAAAATTTTGTAAATTTATTTGAAAAGCGAATAATTTAAGGTTTTCTCATTAAATCAATTTTTATTTGCCTTTTAATTTTTGTTCAAATAAAAACTTTCTTATATTCTAGGCTTCTTGGGTCTTTTTATAGGTTTTCATGGAAAAATAAGGTTTTATACGAATTAATTTAAGTAGAATGTTGATGAACGAGTGAAATTGGGTCATAAAACCAATTTTGTTGTATATGGTGTAGATTTTTTTTAAAAAGCGAAAATAATATAGAAATTATTCACGCTTCTATATATAGTGGAATTTAAAG